GTACCACTGCGTTCCTGGGTGACAGAGAACAAGACTGTTTCAAAAAAAAAAAAAAGAATCTTAACAGTGGTTAACTTCAAGTAATGAGACTATAAGTGACTGAGTTTGTCATTTTTGTGTTTTCTATAATAAACATTATTTCATAATAAAGCAGTAAAGATTTTTACACAAACTATTTTAAGATAAAAGAAATAAATTTTGACATAGGGGTTATAAATAAGATAGAATCTATTTATATAAAAGAATGGAACTATACATTTGTGGGCCAAATGAGCATCATTTAAGTTTTCAATTTTCTCAAACACATGCACAGAATTAATACTGCCTTAAATTTTGTTAACACAAGTTTGAAAGAGCTCTTTAGTTCATAAAAAAATGTTTTGTGGACCAGATGCAGTGGCTAACATCTGCAATCTCAACACTTCAGGAGGCCCAGATGGGAGGATCACTTGGGCCTGAGCAACACAGGGAGACCCTGTCTCAAAAAAAAAAAAAAAAAATTAGCCAGGCACAGTGGCTCATGCCTGTAATCCCAGCACTTTGGGAGGCCAAGGCAGGTGTATCATGAGATCAGGAGTTTGAGACCAGCCTGGCCAACAGAGTGAAACCTGTCTCTACTAAAAATACAAAAAATTAGCTGGGCATGGTGGTGGGTGCCTGTAATCCCAGCTACTTGGGAGGCTGAGGCAGGAGAATCACTTGAACCCGGGAGATGGAGGTTGCACTCCAGCCCATGAGACAGTGCAAGATGCCATCTCAAAAAAAAAAAAAAAAAAATTAGCTGGGCATGATGGTGTGCACCTATAGTCCCAGCTACTCCAGAGGCTGAGGTAAGAAGATTGCTAGAGCCCAAGAGGTGGAAGCTACAGCAAGCTGTGATCAAGCCACTGCACTCTAGCCTGGGCAACAAAGCAAGAGTTTGCCTTAAAAAAAGAAAAAAAAGAAAAAGAAAAAAAGTTATGTGCTTGTGTTTTTAACAATACACTTCTGAACTATCAAAAAGAATATAAATCAAAATCAGTGAAATAGTTTTTAAAACCCCAAAAGCTACAAAACTTAAATTACTTACTTCAATATCAACTAAAAAGCCATTTGGTAGTTAAGTAACTTCAGTCCTGCTAGAATCATTCTAGAAGCCAACAGTCACACTGAAGTGGCCAAAATTTGAGTCACTTGATAAATACAAAGAACACAGATTTTTATCATTCTTACTGTGAAGAAAAACAGTGAATAATTTGTTTTATATATTAAGTTTAATTAAAAAATTATCTAGAGAATGATTTCTTTTTAATCCTTTGTTAGTCACATAACTATGGATAAAACACACCAATTTAGCTGATTCCTCTATGCTCTCTTTTCCTTGATTCCAATCATTATTAGTTATTCTGCAGTGCTTCATTTATTGGCAGTTATGCCAACTGGCTGACTTTGGCTCAACTGCTCTATTTTTGCCTTCATCATTGTTTATCAGATCTCACTTGCATTAAAGTTTCACCTCTTTCATCTCATCTGATCTGACACTTGGTTTACATATCAACTGCCTACTCTAAACTTTCTACTGCCAGTTTCCAACTCGTTCAAGGTACTTGGGTAAGAAAGGAAGATGTTCAATAAACACAAAACCACAGAAAATAAGTGGGAAGGGATAGAGTTAATTTTTTTTTTCCTGATAGAGTTAAATTTAAGATTTAAGGTTTTAAATCACTTAAGGTTTTAGAATTTGTTATTCCATAAATTAAATATTTTTTCAAAAATAAAGGCTGCACCCAATTAGATTCTATGTTAACTGGTCATGAATAGGTCTAAAATGTTAGATATTTACCAATAAGTGACATAAGATAACTCAATAACTTAAGAGTTTTTTTTTTAAGAAATAGGGTCTCACTTTATCACCCAGGTTTGGCTGAGTGCAGTGGTGTGATCACAGCTCACTGAAGTCTCCAACTCCTGGGCTCAAGTGATCCTCCTGCCTCAGCCTACATTCTTTTGTACATTCTTGAAAGTAAAATTACAAACGAAATTCAGCCATGTTAAAATTAATCCCAGCACTTTGGGAGGCCGAGGCAGGCAGATCACCTGAGGTCAGGAATTTGAGACCAGCCTGGCCAACATGATGAAACCCTCTCTCTACTAAAAATACAAAATTAACCGGGAGTGGTAGTGTATGCCTGTAATCCCAGGTACTCGGGAGGCTGAGGCAGAAGAATCACCTGAACCCAGGAAGTGGAGGTTGCAGTGAGCCAAGATCACACCATTGCACTCCAGCCTGGGCAACAAGAGCAAAACTCTGTCTCTAAAAGAAAAGGAAAAAAGGAATCCTTCATAAATAGTGTAGCCAAAAAAGCTGGACTAATATACAATGCTATCAATAAAATATTAGATATATAAGTGCTAAAGTATAATTTTGAAAGATACATAAAATATTCTTGTAATAGTCCCCCCCCACTCCACTTTTTTTTTTTTTTGAGACAAGGTTTTGCTCTGTTGCTCAGTCTGGAGTGCAGTGATGTGATCATGAATCACTGCAGCCTTGACCTCTCCTGGGCTCAAGCGATCCTCCCACCTCAGCCTCCGGAATAGCTGGGACTACGTGTGTGCCACCATACTCAGTAATTTTTTTCTATTTTTGTGGAGATGGGGTCTCCCCATGCTGCTCAATCTGGTCTTAAACTCCTGTGCTCAAGCAATCCACTGTTAGCCTTCCAAAGTGCTGGGATTATAAGCATGAGCCACTGTGCCCTGCCCTAATATTTTGTTACTTACTAGTGAGACTAAACACTTTTCTGAGTTTGTTAGCCATGCTATCCTATAAAAGTTGTTCATTTTTTTTTTTTTTTGAGACCGAGTCTCACTCAGCCCAGGCTGGAGTGCAGTAGTGCAATCTTGGCTCACTGCAACCTCCACCTCTGGGTTCAGGTGATTCTCCTGCCCCAGCATCCCAAGTAGCTGGGATTACAGGCGCGCCACTATGCCAGGATAATTTTTGTGTTTTTAGTAGAGATAAGAGTTTCACCAAGTTGTCCAAGTTGGTCTCAAACTCCTGGGCTTAAGCAATCCACATGCCTTGGCCTCCCAAAGTGCTGGGATTACAGGGGTGAGCCACTGCACCCAGACATTCATTCCTTCATTATTTATTTATTTATTGAGATGGCATCTCCTTTATTCTGTTACCCAGGTTGGAGTGCGGTGGCATAATCTTGGCTCACTGCAACCTCCACCTCCCAGATTCAAGTGATTCTCATGTCTCAGCCTCCAAGTAGCTGGGATTATAGCCATGTGCCACCATTCCCAGCTAATTTTTCTATTTTTAGTAGAGACGGGTTTTTGTTTTTTTTTTGAGATGGAGTCTTGCTGTCGCCCAGGCTGGAGTGCAATGGCGCAGTCTCGGCTCACTTCAACCTCCGCCTCCCAGGTTCAAGTGATTCTCCTGCCTCAGCCTTCCGAGTAGCCAGCATTACAGGTACCCGCCCCCACACCCAGCTAATTTTTGTAGCTAAAAAGTAGAGACAGGGTTGACCATGTTGGCCAGGCTGGTCTCAAACTCCTGACCTCGTGATCTGCCCACCTCAGCCTCCCAAAGTGCTGGGATTAAAGACATGAGCCACTGCACCTAGCTTCATTTGTCTATTATCTATTTTTCTTAGCAATTTGTACGAGCTCTTTACATTTAATATGGCAATTAGCTCTCTCTGTCATATGTTTTGCAAATAGTTTCACCCATCTTTGTTTTCTTTCTTTTTTTTCCTCCTTTGGTTGTGGTTTTGATTTTTGGTTAGTCCTCTCTTTTTTCTTTTTTTTGAGATGGAGTGTTGCTCTGTAGCCCAGGCTGGAGTGCAGTGGCATGATCTAGGTTCACAGCAACTTCCGCCTCCCGGGTCCCGGTTCAAGCAATTCTCCTACCTAGCCTCCCACGTAGCTGGGATTACAGGCATGAGCCACCATGCCCAGCTAATTTTTGTATTTTTTAGTAGAGACAGGGTTTCATTATGTTGGCCAGTCTGGTCATGAACTCCTGACCTGGTGATGTGCCCACCCTGGCCTCCCAAAATGCTGGGATTACAGGCGTGAGCCACCACACCCAGCCTCCTCTCTTCTTTCTTGATGACAAGTTCATTACATTTAGTATATGACTTAATAATAAATATCAAATTTAGAAATTGTATCATGAGAGTTAAGGAATTCTAATTTTCACAAATGAGAATTAGTGGAGTAATATGGTGTTGCTAGGGTTTCTGGCAATATGGAGGGATAAGCCTCAATATCAGTTTGTTAATTAGAAGAGGTGTTATAAAACACATGCAGAAACAAAACCATTCAAACTGTGTGTAAGCCATGAGGTAAAAACAGCAAATGCAAGGTACATTACCCAGTGAATTATTCAAACCTAACAAAATGATTTAAACACAACTAACAGCCAGAGTATAAAAATATTAATCCAAGAAATAAGATTGTAGTAAGTGCTTTTTATTTCCCTTTAAAGTGATTTAATGGAAGTACAAAAATGACTTAGGATTATGTTTCTATTTTTGTTTGTTTGTTTGTTTTTTGAGATGGGAGTTTTGTTCTTGTTGCCCAGGATGGAGTGCAGTGGCGCGATCTTGGCTCACTGCAACCTCCACCTCCCAGGTTCAAGCGATTCTCCTGCCTCAGTCTCCTGAGTAGCTGGGATTACAGGTACGTGCCACCACTCCCAGCTAATTTTTTCTATTTTTAGTAGAGACGAGGTTTTATCATGTTGGCCATGCTGGTCTTGAACTCATGACCTTAGGTGATCCACTCACCTCGGCCTTCCAAAGTGCAAGGATTACAGGTGTGAGTCACTACGCCGGGCCTATGTTTCTATTTTAAACATATTCAACAAACATGATTCCCCAACTCCTGCAAAATAATTTCTTTCTTCAAGAATATTCATTTTAGAGCTCATACTAAGAAAAAGAGTGCAAAAATAATGGCGCAGAAAGTGATAAAACAAAAACAAAAAATAGAAAGATAAAGTTTCCCATTAAAATCATCAATATACTGTGCAGTAAGTATAAATGTGTATAATGAATTAAGAAAATATATTTAAAAATCCAAATTTACAAAATGAAGTACAAATAGGTGTTTATATTACAAAGTGATACTTGGTTTATAAAAGGATTCAACACAGATTTTTTAAATGGTTGTTTACCTTAATCAATTTAACAATGATTTTAAATGTATAAAATTTTAATATCTCTTTGAGACAGTGATCCAAGCTTCTTCCCTTGACGATGTTACCAGTTCATACTTTGTTTCAATAACTTGGCCCTCCACAGAAAGTAGGTGCAGTCTCTTCACCAATACACTAAGCAATACTGTGGTCACCATATATGCAAACCTGGTCAGGAAGAAAGTCAACTAGTTACTAAAGATTAAAAATTATACTTTTATCATATAGATTGCCCATTCTCATTAATAGTTATCAAAATTCTAAGAACAGAGTCTGGCATTCTATTATTCACCTCAACTCTGGACACTCCTGTGTGCCTGAGAATCCAAGTGAGGAAAAAGTTTTCATTACTAATTCATCATCAAACCGATCTGGATCAAACCTAAAAAGAAAATGTGAGGTTAATCACAATATAGCTCCACTGGCATTTTACATGTTGATACTAAAAGAACACAAGTATGTAATAAAGTTAAAAATTGACTGAAAATAGAATGTGCTCTTACATTATGTTTAAATGTCACTTGTTTTTATTATTTAACATATATTTAGTCTATTGCTGTTTCTTACTTTATTTATTGAGACACGGTCTCACTCTGTTACCCAGGCTGGAATGCAGTGGTGCATTCAAGGCTCACTGGAGCCTCAGCCTCCTGGGCTTAAGCTATGCTTCTACCTCAGCTTCCTGAGTAGCCGTGACTACAGGCACATTCCACCAGGCCCAAATACTTTGAACATCTTTTTGTACAAACAGTGTCTTCCTATGCTACCCAGACTAGTCTTGAACTCCTAAACTCAAGCGATCCTCCTGCTTCAAGCTCTCAAACTGCTGGGATTACAGGCATGTGAGCCACTGTGACTAGCACTTGCTTTATTATTTTTGTTTCGAGATGGAGTCTTGCTCTGTTGCCAGGCTGGAGTGCAATGGCGCAATCTCGGCTCACTGCAATCTCCATTTCCCGGGTTCAAGCAATTCTCCTGCCTCAGCCTCCTGAGCAGCTGGGAACAGGCACACACCACCACGCCCCAGCTAATTTTTGTATTTTTAGTAGAGACAGGGTTTCACTATGTTGGCCAGGATGGTCCCAATCTCTTGACCTGGTTGATCCGCCCACCTGGGCCTCCCAAAGTGCTGGGATTATAGGCATGAGCCACAGCACTAGGCCTACTTTATTATTTCTAAATGATAGGTGCAAAATACATTTCTTGAAACTACCAAGGTATAAGATTATAATATGAGTTTATATTATTTTGAGAAATGTAAGGATAAATCATATAATGAATATTTAAATAAATTTAAGACCTGATACATGAGACCATCTTATCAATATGTGAGACATTTTATATTGCCGTTTCAACTGAAATTTATTTCCTAAAATTGGAAGCTCCCGCCTTAAAATTATATTTATCAATTATATTACATTCAGACTTATTAATAGGTGAGAGAGGCTAGGCATAGCGGCTAATGCCTGTAATCCAAGCACTTTGGAAGGCTAAAGTGGGAGGATTACTTGAGCCCAGGGGTTTGAGACCAGCCTGGGCAACATAGTGAGATCCCATCTCTATTAAAAATTAAAAAA